CTCACTTTTAGGCAAGGCCATGGGAGAAGTGAAAGTACCATGCAGAGGTCTACCAAGTCTATCCCAGATTATTCTAACACAAATACTGATAATAATTTTTCACTTAAGGGGAAATATCTTGGATAGATGCTGACCGGGATAGATAATAGGACAAAAGATGTAGACCTGAATGTCTCAGAAAAACTTGTATTACAGTTGATGTAGTCACTCTACCTTTGTGCCCCTTCCCACTTATAAATACCTTAGAGATCTCCCCATGAAAATCCAGCAGTGTATCTATTATTCGGGTATTCCAAATGGGATCTTTTTATGCACACAGAATCTGCTATGTCATGATGAAGCCTCAGTTGCTTCACAAAGGCCTTTGCTAATCATTCTCTGTCCTCTTCCTGTCATCTTTAAAATTCCAAGTGGATGGCAGAGAACACAGCACAAATTGGAAAAAACTGGCTAAAATTACCCAGAGCCCTCCAGTGTGGAAAAATATGGTAAAGAGGGTGAAAAATTCACTTTTAACACTCAAAAAGCATGGGGGTGCATGGTGTGATGGCAGGGGTGTGGGCAGGGGCCATGGTGGTGATTAGCGTAGTATCTCAGTTATGCCACTGTAATTCCAATCTATATTCCTAATGCATGTTGGGATTCCACTGGCAAAGCCACCATCGACCTGTACACCAAATCTCAGTTTTAAAAACAAAGAGATACACTCCCTTCGCGTAATCCCCAAAGTTCAAAACAGCTAGTTTTAGAACAAATTAATAAAATTCAGCTTTCCACTCCATATGGCAAACCCCGGTATTATTTATTTCAAGAGCTAGTTGAGACTGAAAAGATAAACAGGCTGAAGAAAGAGAAATAAAGCAAACATGCAATTTTGTTATAGTTTACATCTGCAATTCCATCCCTGAAATATCTCTTCTAGCAGCTTTCCAACACAAATTATTGTCTGCACTTAATTAAGACATTTCTTTTTTTTTAAAGCTGTCACCAGGAAATTAAGGCATTATAGCAAACCATTCATTTACCTATTCGTTCACTCTCAAATGTTCATTCAACACACATTTGTCAAACACCTTTGAGAAAAATGCTACCTCAGTTTCCATAAAGCCACAGTATTTCCCAGAAAAAAACAAACAAACAAAAAACAAACAAACAAACAAAAACAATTCTGTTAAGGTTGTGGGGTGTTCCTTAGATACAGCCAAGGGGATATTCACAATATTTAACAACCAGTGCAGCATGGGCTCCAGTCAGTCAGAATGACAGCCCTGCCCTGCAACCAATAAGGAAGGATAAAGTTTATGGATACAATGGGCCACTGAAACAGCCCTGGAGCAAACCTAATTCCTAAGAATGGTAAAGACAGATCTTGGTGACTAATGCTTCTAAATGTTGTAGAAAGCAAAAGTAGGTTGAGCTTTAGTGTAAAAGTTATGCTGCCTAATTTTCAGAAGAATCAGAAGGAAAAACTCTAGAATAGGCACATCTCCCTTCATTTCCTTGTGTCAATTCAAGGTGAAAACTTGAGAAGTTAGTGGATGCCACTTATAACATGGTATGTGTCCCTTCCTTTTATAATCTCTAACTCTCACAACCTTGTCAGAAAATGTTACTAAACCCACCATGGAGATGAGAAAGTAGCCCTAAGAGTTCTGTGTTTTGCTGAGGTCACACATTTAGATAATGATGGTGGGTTTCCAAATCAGATCTATCTATCTCACTCAGAACATCTCCTCCTTCATTCTATTTCTTTTTGGGAACTAACTTCCCCCACATTTGGCTCACTCTTAGGAGGAGTATGAAATTGGCCAGCCCTCCCCTACTCAAGGAGTGAACATATAAGCCAAGCAAGGTTTGATGAATTGCAAAAATGGCCACCATTCTTCTCCGCAACTGCCCCACATCTATTCCACTTTGCCATATGAATCTGGCAGCTCCTCTCATCAAGAGGTGGGGGCTAGTTCCCACTCTTTAAATCTGGGCTGGCCTTGTAACTTGCTTTTGCCAATAGAATATAGCAGAAGTGACATTGTGAAGGTTCTGAGCATGGGCCTCATGAGACCTTGCACATTTCTACACCCCTCTTGGATCCGTGCCCACTTGCTGTGTTAACAAGCCCTTGCTCATTTGATAGAAGTTGAGAGACCACATGAAGCAGAAACAAACCATCCAGTTGGGCCGTCTTAGATGGACCAGCCATCACTGACCTGGCAGGGATGGCAGATGTATGAGTGAGCCTGGCTTGGTCTATCCCAGATCTGCAGAAAAGTTCAGCTTAGTCCAGCCCAAATTTTCAACCTACAAAGCTATGAAAAGGTAGTTGTGTTAAGCCACAAATTTTTTTTCCTAACAAAATTTAACCAAAAGGCAAGAATAGAAAATACTTATGATAAATCTCAGAGGCAGCCCACGACAAGATTTTTAAGTACCTCCTGCTTCCTGGATTCCTGGATCTTCTCTAATTCTTGCCCTCTCTGAGCCTGGTTCTCTAACTGCATCTTTCATTCCAGGAGCCACCTGTGTCCTCACAACAAATTCCTTTGGCTTAAGTTTGTCAGAGTTTCTGACAACCAAAAAATCCTAATTAATCTTAAAGGTTTTGGTGCAAACCTACATTTTGCTGCTGAAAAACGAACAGGCAGAGGCCAGGACCCCAGAGTCAAGACAATCTTACATAGAGAACAGGATCATTATCATCAAACAAGGCCATCACCCTAGCCATGACATAAACCAATCCAGTATTAATAAAGTAAGTAAGGCTAGCTGCTATAAAAAGCAATCCCTAAATCTCAGGGGCTTAACATAATAATGCTTTACTTATCATGCCTGTCACTGGCCAGTAATGGATTTTTCTGGCAGGGTAGGCTTCCAGGTGATCATCCAGGGTCTTGGGCACCTTCCAATTGTGAATCTCTCCTCTCCTGGGTCTTAGGGGCCCTTATGATTCAGCCAGCTCATGGGAAAAGGGAAAGGAGATGGCACTTGAGAGGGTTTTATCAGCCAGGCCTGGAAGTACCACCCAACACTTTCGCTCACCTTACATTGCACAGAGCTCAGACGCACAACCACATCAAGCTATCAGAGAAATATCATCTAGTAATATAAGCCCAAGGATGAAGTAAGAGCAAAAATAGGGTCAGATCTTTGCCACAGAGTCCTGGCTGATTTTATACAGTCATGTTATTGAAATTAAGCCTTTTCTCCTCCTTCAAAAATCACTCCATTTTACAAAGAGACCAATAAATAAACACATTGTACTTACTGTTGGATAAAATAGAATGGAGAATATTTTCCCTGCATTAGAATACCCAGAAACTGAAATTCTTACATTCACTGCAACTTGCTAAAGGGAAAGCTCTGTTGGAGACAGGAAACCCAGCTCAGAGGACACCATTGTCCCGCCACACTATTCCTTACTATTTTCATTCCTTCCACAAAATAAGCCAGAGATTAGGGGGCAGGGATTCTACAAGTAATCATTTGCTTTCCTTTGTCTGATGACAGCAACGACAGCAGTTTATTAACCACTAGACTACTCTTAAGATTTTGGCATAACTTTAGAATCACACAGACACAATTAGGGGAAAAAACGTTTCTCTCCTCCCCTCCCCAATAGATTTCTTTACCCCTTCCAATTTCATAAGAAAGTCCCTAGGAAAAACATACTTATAACAGTATCAAATTAATGGATGGATTGAGCTTACATTTTTCTTTTCCCATGATGCATTCTAAATACCAAAAAAAGACTAGACAGACAGCGGGACCCATCCATCCACATTCCAAGACATGCTCCAGTTACCCAGTCATTGCAGAGCACTGCCAGGAGGCAGAGGCTATGATTTGACTAGAATTCAGCTATTTTCAATATATTCTAGTTACTTAACTGATATTGAAGGCTATGATCAAACATGAAGTAGCCAATGGACTTTTCTAAAGAAACTGCACAGTGGCATCTGACTTGCTGTAAGTTGTACCAGTTTGCACCACAGAGCACACCGCTGAACAGCTGAGATTACAAAACAAAGCCTTGGGATTCATATGCTTTCATTCACTGTTTTCACATTTCTCTGTTATTCCAAAATGTTTGGCTAGTTTTTCTTCCTCCCTTCACCCTCAGCTCTTTCTTAAGGACAGAGAAGAAACCTAATTCTCACAAAATGATTGGTTTTTAAAGTATGCTAAGTATTTGGAGATTTATTAGAAACAGTTTTAGTTCCTCATTACTCTAGAGCAAATTATTATTGATTTACAACAGACGGCTCATCTGATATCCTTCAGGCAGTCATAAAAAATAGTCTGAGCATTAAAAATGGTTGATGTCTTTCTGGCCAAAGCAGCGAAACTCAGCTAATGACAACCGCTTCCAACTGAATGAAAAATAGCCCATTCTCACTGTGTGTTCTGTTCACTTTTTTGTAAGTGTTCCAAAGAACCTGAATTCATATGCATTTATTTTCATATTAAACTCATTTATCAGAAAGATCTCTTCTAGATACCCCATTCACACCGGAGTGATCTTCAAAGTCAGAAAGAACATTTGCTAGCATTACCATATACTTACAGCTTGGCATGTTTTATTATAGCGCATTTAGAGTAAGGGTTTTTACTACCATTAAGCAATCCCACTGACATCAGGTCAAAGCTTTGCTGTGAACGTGCTACCTAAAAGCATCAGTTCTGTAACAAGCTGCCAGGTTTATCTCCTGGCTCCATCACTGGAGCAACTCTCCTATCCTAGCAGCCTCAGTCTTCTCTCCTGCAAAACGGGGCTATTAAGAGCAACTATTTCAATGGTCATTGTGAGATTTAGCTGAGAGTTTTAATTTTATCACAGCACAGGCATCTAGAAGATTCTCTGTTAATATAAGCTACTGGCACGGGACCAAGACTATTAATAGATGACTATTAGCAGCTTTGCCCACTCTCTGCCTGCTAAGAGGATTACACTCTGCCAGCTTAGTTTCTTCTTCTCCTCTGGTTCCTCCAGAAGGGTTTGGACTTACCACACTAGATCACTGGGGTTTATGTATTGCAGAATAAACATAAATCGGAGGGAAACACACACACACACACACACACACACACAAAAAGAAGGGTACAAGCCAAGACAGATTTTAGGTACTTTAAATAAGAGGTCCTGAGGAGAAAGGAGCTGGTCTGGTATGTGAGGAAATTTGTTGAAGTTTGTTGAAAGGAAAAAGGAGATTTGGAGTTATGTTCTCATAGTATGTTTTTGTGTTCTTCAAGGAATTCAAGAAAGGTAAGTAAAGAACTTGATTATTTCCAATTTTTTGTTTTTTCAGCTTTATTGAGGAAGAGTCGATAAACAAAAATTATATATACTTACAGTGTGCAATATGATGTTTTGATATATGTATGCATTGTGAAATGATCACCACAAGCAAGCTAATTAACACACCCATCACTTCACACAGTTACCTTTGTGTGTCTGTATGTGTATGTGGTGGGTACAGTCAAAATCTATTCTCTTAATATAAAATTTCATGTATACAATATGGTACTGTTAACCTTAGTCATCATGCGGCACAGTAGAGCCCCAGAACTCATTCATTCTGCACAATTTGTTTTGACCAGCAGCTCCCAATACCCCCCATCCTATCCCCACTGGAAACCACCATTCGACTCTGATTCTATGACTTCAACTGTTTTCAATGACACATGCAGTCAGTCCTCTGTACCCATGAGTGCCACATCCATGGATTCAACCACCCACGGATTGAAAATATTTGGAAAAAAGGATGGCTGTATCTGTACTGACTATGTTCTGACTTTTTTCTCTTGTATTATTCCCTGAACAGTATAGTAAAACAACTATTTATGTAACATTTACATTCTATTAGGTATTATAAGTAATCTAGAAATGACTTGTGGTATACAAGAGGATGTATAGGTTATGTGCAAATACTACAACATTTTTATATAAGGAACTTGACCAGCCATGGATTTTGGTATCCACAGGAAATTCTGGAATCAGTCTTCCATGGATACTGAGGGACGACTATATAAGTGAGATCATAAATCATTTGTATTTCTATGCCTATTTACCTTAGCATAATGTCTTCCAGGTTCATCCATGTTGTGACAAATGGCAAATCTCCTTTTTTAAAGACAAATGTATATACACACAATGGAATATTACTATAGATATCATATTTTCTTTATCGATTCATCTGTTGATGGACACTTAGGTTGATTCCATATCTTGGCTGTTGTGAATAATCACATTTCTTTAGACACCAGAGTGTGTGTATGTGTGTGAGTGTGTGTGTGACTATTATCCTTATTGGACTGGACCAATTGGATTATGGAATTATGCATTATCACTACACTTCTATTACTACTCTTACTAAGGGTTATCAAATGTTCTGGTTTAAACTGGCCACCCTGCCCTTCATAAGTAGCACCTGCTTCCATTTTAAAAAATATCTCAGTTTGTGCAAATAAATTTTATGGTCTCCCTCCCACTGTTGCTGCTGTCACTGCTGCTGTTGCTGCTATTTTTCATCTGTAATTGAAATAATCAATGCAAATAGTTAAAGTTTACATTATTCTATGTACACTTGGAAAAAGATTTCCCATAGATCTTAATAACAAATACATTAATTCCTCAGCCCATTAAAGCACCTTTTAGCAACTTGCTCCATAAATGCTAACTGCTGGGTGAAAGTAAGATTTTTACCATCTGACCCTAACATGTCCAATAAACTCATCATAAACCCAAATGATATCTTCAAATAGTCTTTCCACTAAAGTGTATTCTCCTCTTCAGATTTCCAGCATTGAAAACAAGGTAACAGACAAAAGGCAGGTACCAAAGTTAGGCTATATCAGTATTCTGTTGTGTGCACTTTGACCCTAAGAACAGGGAAATCTGATTTAACATGACAAAGTCATTATCACTTCCAGATCTTCAGATACAACAAGCGTCCTAGCAGCAGGAGCAGACATCTTCTCTAAGCTAATCATCAACCTCACATTATTCACTTTAGTGCCTTATTCTTTAAATAGACTTCAAAAATTATAATAGGCATAAACTGGTCAGACTATTACACTGAGAAAAAGAACAAAAATAATATTTTAAGTCAGATATAGGCAGGGTGTGGCTCACACCTGTAATCCCAGCACTTTGGGAGGCCGAGGCTAGCAGATCACCTGAGGTCAGGTGTTCAAAACCAGCCTGACCAATATGGTAAAACTCTGACTCTACTAAAAATACAAAAATTAGCCAGGCATGGTGGCATGTGACTATAGTCCCAGCTACTCAGGAAGCTGAGGCAGGAGAATTGAATCGCTTGAACTCAGGAGGTGGAGGTTGCAGTGAGCCCAGATCCTGCTACTGCACTCCAGCCTAGGTAGCAAGTGTGAAACGTCATCTCAAAAAAAAGAAAAGAAAAAAGAAATAGTAGTACTTGTAAACTTGATGTCAAATATGTTAGTTTTTCCTTTCCAAAAAGGTTTGGAAAAATTCAAACGGCAGTATTTATATTTTGTATTGAGCATCTTAGGATGCCAGTTAAAATTGTTTATTTTCAGACCCTTGATTTTACAGAAACATATATGAAGCACATGAAGATGGCATTGTACAATTTAATTTTAAAGGTGAGAGAGAGAATCCACTATGAATCTCTGAACGTAATTATAGTAAAATATTTATTGTTCTATACTTGGGAATTATTATAACATAGCAAAAAATTATCTACAAAGGAAATGATTTAGGATGTAATATGGACTTGTTTCCAGCCAAATGGGCATGTTTCTATCATCAGGGGGAGAGAGGTAAAACACGGAAACAAAAAAAAATTCTACCTTTGCTAAATAAGTTACCACCAAAGGTCAGGTCCATGGCAATGCATTTTCACAGCTCTTTCGACTTCTCAGAGTCTCCTCCATTTTCCAGGCATATCTGAACCATGTCTCTCTCTCCCAGCCTCTCTCTACTTAAGTTTCCAGAATGTTTCCTTGGCTCAGTCTTTAACGCCACTCAATAATGTGTTCAGTACCTTGGGAGTATCTGTGGTCATGTAATTCCATAATCATATTCCTAGATGATATGTCACAATTTGTTTAAGTTGGACTTAGCACTCAGTATGAGCTCACAAAGATGTCCGTGAGAGCGGTCAACGATGACTTCATTATCTTAGGATGCACTCACCAGCTTTTCAATGTCAGCAGAGGGCTGTCCCATTTCAATGACAAACAGAACCTCAAAGTAAAATGAAATCCTAAGAAATCAGGCACTCAAAAATGTGAAAATAACTCATTGCATGAATGAGTATGGGGTAGGAAACTGAAAATGCTTCTTTGGCTGGTATTGCCATGGCAAATCAAAAATTGAGGCACCACTTTCTTCAAGTTACAATGAATTTCCAAGGCAACACACCAAAATGAAAGCAATGTCTGCAAAGCTGTGTGAAGGTGACTGATGAAAAGTTTCAACTTCTGATATGTGCATAATCTATTAAATGTGATCAGATCTATTAAATACACAAATCTATCAGCATACATGTATCCAATTCTATGACCACTTTTATTTTCACCTAAATTATACCCAACTTCTCTCTTCTTACATCATTTCCAGGAAAGTTTTGTTAAATTATTTTGTTGTCAGATGGTACTATTTCATTTTCTACTATGTATACTCTATTTTTAATTTTAGACTTGTCATGACAATATTTGGAGGATGATTCTATTTTGCTAAGCTGCATTTTTCATTGCAGGGTTTTTCTCTCTGTAATTTGTCTTCTGAAAGCTTTAAAATCATTCTTGGGCTATTGTAATAAAATCACATCATTTGCCTGACATTCTCTGACATTACTGTATTTCCTCCCATTTATTTAAGAAGGGCAACTGAAACACCCATGCCAAATCAAGCGAACATTGCAGAATCAAACTCTTCAGAATATCGTTCTGGAAAAGTATCTAGTAGCCTTCAGGCTACCTGTCAAAAGGGAAATAACTAAACATTTAGTTCAGTTCTCTTTTGTGCTCCCTAAAAGCTCACCTGGCAAGATAAATATTATGGAAGGAGGAGGGGAAAAAAGGTAGGCAATAGGAAGACAGTATCTAAGAGAAAGAGTGCTAAGGCCATGTCAGAGTATGATGGCCTCAGATGGGAATTAGCATAAAATTCTAGCCTTGGGTTGGGTAGAGAAAAATCAAGCTTCAATAAGAAAAAATTATTGTCAAAAGAAAAAAATGTGGTACCACAGGGAGTGGGGCACTAGGAAAATTGCTTGAGGGTGTAACCACAAATGGCAGATGGACAAAGTTAGGTGGAGCCCAGAAATAAAGGAAAGCCTTTATTAGCAGACTTGCTGATATATAGATCTCATTGTTATGTAAGATCCAAGGAATTTCTCCCATGCTCCACACCCTTCTTAACAATCAACCTGGTACCTGGTTAAGATGCAGGTCTTTTCAGGTTCTTTGAGCTTACAATCATGCCCATGATAGACATAGCTATATTGGAAGCTTAGCCAGTAGCTCCTTGCTTCTGACATCTTCCCTCCAGGGGAGGGAATTTATTTATTAAAACAGAAAAAATATTCTTTTCAGTAATTATGTTGATAGGGAAACTGGGCACTGCACCATGAAACTTTACTGATACTCCCAAACATGGGTCAGATGTAGAATTAACACCCTGTCCTCAATGAACTTCCTCTAAATGAAGAAGTTCTACTTCTCTAAATGAAGAAGCTTCATTTAAAGAAATGGAAGTAGAACTCTGAAGCTAAATCACAGGGCTCCAAGTAAATGAAGTGACTCAGTGTAAACATGTTCCTACCTCATGAGCTTTTAGGAAATCAGCAAGTCTTACTGTTTACCATTTGCTACTTTCTGTAATAACGCATGCAGCTGTTCTGTGATTTAAAATATGTCATTTGTGGGAAATCCAAAGGCAACTATTACAAAAATCCAAATTGCTTGTAGAACCAGGCAAATTATTCCATTCAATTAATCTCTGTAATACAATAGAAACATATTTAGAAGCAAAAAGAAGTAGAATCTGAATATCTTTGGGATCTCCATGGCTGGCTCAATTTGAGCTAAAATATAACCACATGCATCGCATTAAGACAGTCTGGTTTTTTGGAGCTTTCGGGTTTATTTTTGGTTTTTTGTTTTTTAGTTTAAGGAGAATACCGTGAGGCTAGAGCAGAGCTGTGTTCTCCTCCTTGTCTATATCCCAAGGCTCCAAGAGGGTGGGGTCATGTGGATTATAAAAGCTACAAATCAAAG